GGACCCACCGGACCCACCGGACCCGCCGCTCCATTCACCAGGGCTGGTTTTACATTGTTACTCAGCTGGTTGGGGTTTGGCTTGTTACTGGAGGGGCACAGGGACAGGGAGAGGGTCAGACCAGCAGAGATAATTCAGGTCAAAGAGAATAGATAACATTCAGCAGTCTGCTGCTCACGGAGACAGCAGTTATACTGATACTGTATTGAGAGCTGTCAGGAATACTAATGAAGTGAAAGAAGGGGTTTGTGCTCTAACAACAGCAGCAGATGTCCGAGTTTAGCAGAGATGTTGCTGGGAGGGTCAGAATAACTCTTTCTTGATATCTCACTGTATTCAAATGAGGACTTCAGAGTTGCACTGAGGTACTCACTAGTTAGGGATATAGACCTGCTTCAACTTGCTTTCTGCCTCGGCTGCTTTTAATCGTTTCTGGAGCAGAGACAGAGGTTGAGGAGAAAGCAGAGAAATGAAGGTGTGATTAGAGATGTTACTTCCCACAACACTAGTTTAAAAAAACAACAGCATTTAAAGTGTAAAACATTTAAGTGTAAAGCATTTAAGGAATACAATTATCAACCCTGAGTTCAGAACCCTATAAGGATTTTATTGATTTTAAGACTTAAAAGACTTTAAGGGCTTTTTATGAATTAATGAACTTAAAATAAAAATATAAGAAAGATATGTTTATGATTATATTTGTTATAACTTTTATTTTCTATCAAAGTGATACTGGCCAAAAAGGAGAATAAAAAGAAGACAACAAACTAAAAAAGGAATCATTTTGGGCCTGACATGATTCATTAGCCAGAAAATAATGAGAAACATGAAGTGTAAAAGAATGAACAATATTCCTTTTTCACAAGGGATGTAAATGGGATGCAAACAAAAGGATCAACCTGTAACAGTTATTGAGCTTTAAAGAAAGGAAATAACCATTTAAAAAGTGTACTGAATGTGTTTACCTGCTGTACATATCTGTCTGTGGTCTTCCACATGTAGTAATACTCAATAATACTCGTCAGGGACTTCCAGGGCAACTGGGGAAGGAGAGAGGGCACAAAATAATGACTGAGAGGTTGCTGGGTTTCAATCTCCAGACCGACAAAGAAGATTGTCTGCACACACAGACACAGTCAAGACACTACATTTCTACATTTTCATGACCTAAAAACCTTTAGGTCATCTATTAAAAGACGATTATTTTTAACACAAATGCCTCAGGTTAGCTGTATTTTCCTCATCTGTCGCATAAACAACTTTTTATACAAAAGAGATTCTTTATACAAAATGTCCAAAAACACCACAACTGGCCACAGAATCAGCTTGAACCTACTGAAGTTGCAATGCAAAGTTCCCTCCAAGAAGTTTGAAAGCAAAAACAAAAAAAGAGCTGTCAAGTTGAGGCCCCACCCATAATGGTGGTGTAGTCCTGTTGTTTGAGAGAAGGCCTGGGTGGAAACCTGAGTGAGCAGCACTGACAGCAGCCAGCCACCAGGTGGTGGAGTGATGCACACAGTTACAGATTAGCACACTGTGTAGTAAAGTCCACAAACGGCAGCACCATTCTTCTCAGGCTGAAAGCACAGAGGACTGCGAGGGGCTGCAGCAGAAAGGCAGCTTTCTCCTGCCTTTAGTTAGTTTTCTCAAAGATATTTCTGTGGAATGTTTCTTGGGATAATTGGTCATTGTGCTTAGCTCTAACATTTTCAGTCTTAGCTTACAAGACTACTATTGTGCTTGAGAGTTGTTCTGTACAACATCAGCTAAATGTCTAAATCAAGTCCAAATGTCTTCTACAGAACTCTAATTCTGTGGTTTCTGCACTATACCTACTGCACACATCTCTAAATGTGACTATGGGCATCCCACGTACGGGCAGATGAGCAGCATACCAAGTGCTCGATGTGTTGTCTCTGAATACTCTTAATAAAAGAAACCGACCACACAGAGATATGATATATAAAAAATGACTGTGACACACAATTCTCCACAATTACAGGAATAGTTTTACATTGTGGGAAAAAAACGCTTGTTTACTTTCTTGCCAATACCAGTCTTATGTTTGTTTCTACAAACATTTCATTTGATTAAATTAAAATGTCAGCTGTAGTCAGATAATGCCATAGTGGGGCGCCCAGGTAGCTCACCTGGTAGAGCTGGCGGCCCATGTACCAAGGCTGAGTCCTTGCTGCAGCGACCGACCCCGGCCTGTGGCCCTTTTGCTGCGTGTCAGCCCCTCGCTGCCCCTTCCCTGTCACTCTTTAGCTGTCTCTTTCAATTAAAAGGCAATAAAAGCCCCAAAACAATATAAAAAAAGACAGAATATTAAGATGTGCCTGATTCTCCTCAAATCGTACAGCCTGATAATATGATAATGATAATCCTATCTAGTAACTTATCTGAAATTCGATTTTTAAATTATTTCAGGGGGTTTTCGAAGAAAATTCCTCAAGTTGACCCGGAGTTGTGTTATTTGCAGTTTTCGAAATACGTCTACCAGCAACTCTATCTTGTTTGTTTAATCTGTTCAAAAGCAAACTGTACAAACAACACGTTGGGGTTATAATGGAGGTTATGTGCCAGACTTCCTGGATTCTTGCTGTCACTATGACATACGACTATGATTATGTGACCAGAAGCCCTCACAGGTGTATTTCTTTTAGCTTTAAGACGGCTAGCTGTTTCCAGCTGTAACGCTAACCATCCCGCGTCTGCAGTTTCGTCTTTTACGGACAGATATGAGAGTGGTACTGATCTTCTCATCTGACTTATTAAGCATATTTCCCAGACTGTCAAACTATTCCTTAAACATGTTTTTTCGTTGGGTTTGCTACTCACAAAATCCTGTTGGATATCTGTGAAGTCTTTGCCGTATTTCTCTAGTGCCTCCTCAAACAGGTTGGCCTCAGAGGCGCTCCACTCCTCCATTTCATCCCTGCAGAGGACAGGCCCACCCTGAGGCACCAGCGCTGCGATGGCTCGAGTCATGTCATAGCCCGTGGCATGGAGGGTGTCCATGGCGTGAAACTAAAACACAAGATATAAAAACAAATTATTGTTGTTTTAACGTTGTCTGGATGAATTTCTGCAATATTCTGCCGACTTGTTGGGAGGAGTACGATTAATTTTTATTTGTTTAATCCACCGAGTTTATATGCAGCCCCTTGTCTAAGGCTTTGGGCTGTGTTTGTGTGTGCATGTGGGAAACTACAAGGCCTCTCATCTATGTTTTATATATGAGGATAAGATCTAGGGCAGAATAGACCCGCACCAGGCTTCTGGGGCCAAGTGCTTGTTAAGGATAACCAGAGACAGCCCTCAACATTTACTAACAGACACACAAACACACACATAAATACACACATAAATACACATGTGCACGACAAGCGTTTTCTTTGATTATCACTACTGCTTCCCCCGCAAACTTCTCATCTATGGTGTGTCTTTTGTGTGTGTTTGTATCTCACCAAGGTGATGTCTCTGGAGGCTGCCGCAGCACTCATGTGAAGACTGGGCTGTCGGACAGAACTACTGCAGTCCAAGGCTCGGGCGAATGTACCTACTGACCTATGGGACAAAGACATGATGCAAAAGATGAAGAAAAAGAATATAATATATATGAAAAGACAGCAAATAAACTTGTATTTTTACTTTCGTCATGTAGAGTTCATGTAACTCCAGCTAATTAGCACTGAAGGGGCTAAAACTAGTGCCCACATCTCGCTTTAAAAAAATAGAGAAATCACCAATGTTAGGAAAAGTTTCACATAGTTTAGAGGAATAGTTTGACATTGTGGGGAATATACTTTTTTGCTTTAAGGCAGAGTTAGTTGAGAAGATCAATACCACTCTTGAAATGTAAAATACATAAATATAAAGCAGGAGCCAGGAGACAGTAAGTTTAGCTTAGCACTAGAGCAGAGAAGCAGGGGGAAACAGCTAGCCAGGCTTTGTCCAAAGGAAACAAAATCCACCTACCACCACCTCTAAAGCTCACTTATTAAAACAACATTAACACACTGTATCTCTCAGAGACAAACTAACCGTTTCCCCTTGCTTCCAGTCTCTATGCTAAGCTAAGACAACCATCTCTTGGCTGAAGCTTCATATTCAGAATAAAAGATATGAGAGTTGTATTTTTCTCTAATATTTCCCAGCAAGAAAGCAAACAAGCAAAATTAATTCATGTATATGTTTTATTTCTAATTATATGTATGCGTATGCACTTTGGCGTTTACTCACCGAGCTACTACTAAGAATTGGTCAATCTGTTTCTCCGTCAGTGAGCTGTTGGGGTCCCAGACCTTCTCCTCTAGTTTCTCCAAGTCTCTGCCGTCATCCTCACCTACATGGGCGCAGAAGACACACAGATATACAGTTAATTCTGCTTTGCCTTTCAAGGCCACTATGGTTCCTTATTGACCACATGTGAACAATAAGTTTGTATAATCCACAATCAAATTAGGTTTTTGTCCTGGTTTTACTTTTACAAAATGACTACCTTGTGTAAAGCTTTAATGAATCCCAGAGTTGAATAGGTGGGGTCTGTCAAGCTGCCAGCCTGCAACAAACCAGCCAACCTGCCTGAGCTTCTAACACATGTAACAGAATTTCATTAACATGGGTTTAATTAGAGAGCTTAGTGTCCCATGGTGCCCTAATTGCAATTTCAGAGGTTTTCCCACCTGCTAAGAATAAAAATCTGGCAAAACACTGAACCCTACATTTGGCAGAAAAACACTCACATTTGAAAATACTTAATATCTGCACAAAATGCTGACACAAAATGTCTGGAAAATATCTTTCAGACTGCTTGAATGAAATTTGTTTAATATTTTGGACAAGTTTCAAAGTTATTGAACTCTGACTTTAGACATTGTACCTTATGCAATGACTTTTTCGGAGTTTAAATTAGGGGCCACATTTCTAACCAGCTTTCAGATGTGAAACATACAGTATGAATAGTTGCTGCTTTAAGGTGCTTTCAGACAGCGAGCAGTTTCAGACGTGCCGCCAAGGTCGGCAGCAGCGGCTCGCCATGTCACCATAGCAACCAGAGAAACTACGGAAAGGGAAACAATACAGGTGCTTGTTTTACTGTATCTGAGTTCCCAGTTGTGCATTCATACATAAGTATGCTTGCCTGTATACATTCATTAGTGTTTTGACTTTAGAAGTTGTCTTCTTTTCGAGGAACATCATGCAACCCATCCTTACTGTCCGTGTGACTGTAAAATCATCACTTGTGCAGCACATAGACAATCTGTTATTTCAAATGCTTTGATTACATATAATCATGCTGCAATGATATGATTGCCATGGAAACCTAGGTTAGTTGTTTTATTATAACTTTACTTGTTAAAAAAAAGAAAAAAGAAAGTAAAGTGGCTCGGAGCAGAAAAGGAAGCTTAAAGCCCATGAAATGTTCCTGAGAACTGAGCAATTAAAAAAAAGTTGAGTAGTTTATTATGGCTCAGACTGCTCTATTTATGCTGAAAAAAAAAATGCTGAAAAAGAAAAAAGAAAAAAAAAAAAATTCAGTACACTGCAGTGTAGAAAGACGCCTGTAGGAAAAGTTAATGTGCTACTCTGAATAAACTTATCTGGAAAACTGTGTCAATTAAAACACCCAAAACTTTAAGTATGATGTACCTTCTTTCAGGAGGTCGGTGATGTCTGCCTGGAACTTGTTCCCGACACGGATCTCCCCCTTATCAGCCAGCAGAGTCTTTTGCTGAGGGTCATACACCAGCGAGTAGAAGAAGGCATCCTGGGAAATACAGATGGCAGGAAGGCGTGAGGACGGAATGAAAGGAACAGGAAGCGAGACGGGCAGAGGCGAAAGAGAGGAGTGCAACTGTCTCTGCATGTGTGTGTGCGTGTACTTTCCCCTCTGCTAGTCTCTCGTCTCCTCATTACTGTATGTGAAAAGAACATTCTGGGTCAACACGTTGAATAATTCATCTGGAAACAAGAATCTCTTAACTCATAAGTCCCACACACACACATATATACCTATACACACATACACAATCCTGAAATCCAACACACCTAATCACAGTTTAGAAGACCCCGTCGTATTATCTGGCACAAAGAGCCGGTGTACATACCTCTCTGTCCAGGTACGACTTCAGAGCTTCTGTTTCGTTCAGCAGTGTCACACAGCACTTCCCCCTGGAGGATGTAAGGAAGGGAAGTACATGGGAGGGGAGAGAGGGAAGAGTGAATACTTAACATGTGAAACACAGAATAACAGACAAGACTTAAAGATCAGGGGATAACACATTACATAAGTGCCAGATGAAAGCTGCTACGCTGGGTCCAAGCTCTCCTCTGCAACAGAAACTGTCTAAGCGGATACTTTGATGTAGGAACAGAATCTGCGACGATGGTATTTGATTCGGTTCCAGCTGGAACAGCCTGTTATTTGACAAATCAGGGTCCAGTGTGTTGACACTGGCAGCACTCATCTCTGTCCCTTAACTGCCACCATCTGAATTCAAATTATTTACCAGCTAATTAGTCATACCTCTCTAGCCTGGAGCAAATATGATTTGGCATGGTAATAAAGTCAAACACCTCCTGTAACCTTGCTGCATGCTGGTATTAACTCAGAAATCTTAATCAAGTCTGAATCCTCGCTAAACAAACGCCTCATCAGAGTATTTTTATTTGAGCAGATGTCAGTTTGCTCTTCCTGCGTCTCTTTAGAAATGTCAAGTAATAATTTGGTAATGATTAGTTGGGTTTGCCTGGAGATTACTAATGCACAGAAATGCCCAGAGACAGTTCTATATGTAGAAACAGCTTTCTGGTGACATTTAGTGCCGTGCTGCATATGAGTGGATTGTTTTGAGTTGGTTTGAGTCAACTGAGGACTGATGGGATCTAAACATCTTTCAGACGCACGTGTGGCAGATAATGCGATTGAAGGAATCAATACATGATCACATCTTCATCTACCAACTCCAGTTTTTACAGCGCAGAATCCAAAAGGTAGAAATTTGCTTTACGTACATTATAGGATAAAGGTTTATTCGATGTAATCTGGAAGTTATTGAACAGCCGGAGCAGCAGAAACTGAAAAAAATGGGTTAACAGTCAAACTACTTCATGAAATCTCAAAAGGTCATTAAAAAAACAATATGATCAGTGTCACAGATTTAATGCTTTTATTGCTACTAAATTTATGCTACCTCGAACACATAGTTTAGTAGAGCTGCATTAGTCATTTTCTTTTAATTATTTGATCGAAAGAAATTGACTCTACTATTTTGATAATTGATAATGTTCACTTTTCAAGCAAAAAAGCCATTTATCTGACAAGTTCTCAAACGTGAGAATATGCTGCTGGATTCTTACAGGAAATCTTGGCAATAGAGGACAGCACTTGCTCACAAACAGTCGTATATTTTAGCGTTAGACCCAATACTGACACACTGATTTAACCCCAGTTTTATTCCTCCTTGTTCAGTGATGCAGGGTTCGTGATAAAGTGCCTCAGGTTCATTACAATACACACTCTGCATCATCTCACTTTCATGGTGTGCTTTGCTGTTGGCTCTCCACAGGCGAGCTGTGGCCTCGTGCAGAAACACACCCATGTTCATGCAGGCCATCTGAGCGCGGGGCTAAAATACAATTAAACATTTCCAGGACAGCATCGATTGTTTTGAGGATATTTGGTCATTTTAAACAATTTCCAGGTGTTTCCATGACTGGAAAACTTCGTCTTTTTTTCTGGACATGTGGGGGATTACAGATTGTTGGCTGGACAAAACAGGACATCTAAAGACATCACCTTGTGCTCTAGGATTTTATATTTACTGTGGCATTTCTCACATTTTTATTTTTTTGTAGACAAAGCAATGAATCGAGAAAATAATTAGAAGTTTAAAGCAATACTGAAAACAATCATTAGTTGCAGCCTCAAACCTTCAGATTTTCATGAAATCAAACCCCATTTTAAATCATATTTAAAGTCTGGATTTTGTTTTGGTTTTTGCAAAAGCCATAATTATCACTCTATATTGGTCACTTTACCGACTTCACTGCGTCCTGCTGCAGAGTTGCACAGTAAACAGATGCACCAGTTGTTCTACTGTTGTAACTAGCTGCTCAAAGAGTGTTTGCTGTAGTATTAAACCCCACTTGCTGTTACCACGGTAACCACAGGTGTTGCACCAAATAATCCAAGACTGACATTTTTAAGGAGTAAAACTTTAAATTTAAACAGTAAAAGACAACGAAGCAAGGCGACTGCATTTGATTTCTATGAACTGTCATTTTCTAGTGCAGCTTATCAGATTCATTTGTTTTGAGTGTGTAAACAATAAATTCCACGGGAAGTTGTTTTTGTTTTGAGGGAAAATTGGCATTTGGACTTAATAGTGGGCCAAAAAAGAATTGCATGGAGGTTTTATTCGCAGCCTGGGATAGGTATTTCCTATCAAAATAGTGCACAGTGTGAGTCCAAAATTCTTGGGGGAAAGAGAGAAGGTGAGAAAAATCTGAAATGAAAAGAAAGAAAAAAATATCCAATAATAATATAATTCAATACCAGGGTGGTGTACAGCAGTGTACCTGATATGTGTTGCGGGTAAAGACTCCAGTTGACGGGACAGGAAGAGCTCTCTGTGTCTGAGCTGGTGTTTCTGTTTCTCGGGGAGGTCCGACATCTCTGGATTCTCCATCTCCTCCTCCAGCTCCCCTGGGTGGTAAAAAA